CTGTAACAAAAAGTAATTATAAACATTATATACCAGAAAAAGTACCTAACAAATATGTTCATAAACAAATAATTTTATGTTTGTCCAATCACACTTTATCCAAACCCTGTATAACGAACATATTAGCATACAAGTAGTACAGTCCATTCAATTAACAGTACAGACCGGTCAGCATGTTTCTATTAGCATAATCAGCTATTAATATCTTTAATTAAAAATTGAGGATGTACGGCTTCACCATTATTTTGAAACAAGTTCAATATATCACAATAAATGTGCTCAATGTTAACACTTTCCACACCAATATATATTCTGTTAAACATCGAACGCAGGACCTGAAATAGCTTTGAATTGTGCCTGGTTGAGTAATTATTTCACAGACTTTTCAGTTGAAACTACAAGAAAAGTCAAACTGAAAAATATCCTGCCGATAATAGACATATACTACTGTTCAATAAAGGTTTTTGGTATCTCTAATTATAAGTCCAGTATTTTTTAAGAAAATAAATAATAACAGGTTTGTTATTATCTGAAGTTTCAATATAAATGTTGTGGTAAATTATTTGTTTCTAAGGAACCAAGTGAGTATGCAACTTGTAGTCCAATGAAATCGATGTACTTATTAACAAACCAAAGACCACCCTAAGCGGCAAAGTACGTGAAGAATATAATACGTCAGTTCGCCGTTTACAATAATTGAATCTTTTATAGAGCAATACTCAAAGAATTTTAACAAAAGATCTGCATTTCAAAGTGTTCAAGATTCAATTAGTTCGAGAACTTAATCCGGAGTAGACGACTTGAAAAGCCGCCCATTTTTGCGAATTGAATGTTAAAGTACAGACATTGATGTCGAGTTTTGTAAAAATAAATTCGCGAAAAGACAACCGGTGAATCCATTAAATATATTTTATAATTATTAGTATTCAATATTTCTTTCTGACAATCTAATAATTTTATAATAATATCTATTTACTGTTACCTCTCAGGTAAGGTAACTTTAATTGTCCATCCAATTCTTGTAACCGAACTATGTATTACACGAATATAACTGAAAGTTATCACCATACGTCAACGTACTGAAATAGAGTTTACTTAACAACTTGATAGTTATTCCGTCTGAAATGCCATGGAGACGTCTGTTTAATTGCTTTTTTTGGGGGGGTTGAATGTGGGAATGTGGGCAAAACTAAGGATCTGAATAAACCAAAAATATTAGTTGATACCGGTAGCACAAAATCTATTTTAAAGCCCACAGTTGTAGAACAGCATCTAAGTAGGTATTTATCATTATCACTGTACACACTTTTAATTATTCTACAACTTTGGTTTAAACAAACTTTACAGTCTCTGAAATTTGTGAAGAATATATGAAATATGGTTTACTATTTTTAATACCTCCCTTTATAAAACGAAGGAAACACTCGACTTTGCCCTAATAATCATATGTTGACCTTTATTCTTTATGACTTTCACGAATTTTTCGACGTCATAGGTATTAATTTGCAATGAAATTTAGACGACCAAATATAAAAAAAGTTAAATCAAGTATGATTTAAACGCTGTAGATATTAATTTAGACGATACAAAAATAATAATTGAACAAGAATTGAAAGATATTCGTGAGTTACCTTTATCGAAGTGATCGTGACTTTATTTATACAGGGTGTCTGTAAAAGGTCTTAACAAAAACATACCACATATTCCTTACATATGCAATTTTGCTGAAATTTGGTATATTGGTAGAGTTTTATGTTTAAAAAAAAATGGTATTAAAATTTTGTCCGATAATAATACATAGGCGTAGAACTTGATTTTTTAAATAATTGCACCTTTAAAAATTCTACGCCAATGAAAGAAAAGGAGTTTGAGTATGAAATTTAGATTGCGCAACTCATTTATTTTAAAAAAAGTACTCTTGATAAGACTCGATTACTCTCATGGTTTTGACGAAATTTGCATTTTAGTAATTATAGAACATAAAGAATAATTATTAAAATACAAACTTTGTCAAAACCATGAGAGTAAATCGAGTGTTATCAAGGGTACTTTTTTGTAGTAAATGAGTACCTAATCCAAATTTCATATTCAAACCCCTTTTCTGCCATTGGCGTAGACTTTTTAAAGGTGTAATTATTTAAAAATTCAAGTTCTACGCCTATGTATTATTATCGGACAAAATTTTATAGGATGAAAAACATAAAAATGTACTTTTTTTCATATTTTCTTCAACACCTCTAATCGAGACTTTTAACAAAAATACTCGATTCTTGCCATGTACGATTTTTTGAGGAATATTAATTATTTGCCTGCAATACGTATACAAAAATATTTACTGTTGGTTTCCATAGTTTCATCTAAATAAAAATATTGTCAATAATTAAAAAAACAAATGCGTGGTTTATTAATATGGCTGTACAATATACCAATGCAGAATATACCGATATGTTACTGACATTAAGAGTATTTGTGTACAGAACAAAGATGTCTGGGTTCAAATCCCAGGGGCAACAGTCTTCTTTTCAAATCTACAAGTATGTGTTTTCGTAGAGGGATTTTTGAGATATGTTTCAATTTTAAAACAACGTTCGTACGGGACCACATAAGTAATCCAATGTATAAGAGTGAGAGGTACAGATTCAATGGGTAAGAGTGAGACATATAGAGAGGAAGCGGGGTAGTGGGAGGGAATTAAATCTCTTTTAACGTCGAACAGAAAAATCATGTGATTGCCAGAAGAGCCTAAGCGTATATCTTTGCTATTGTTGGTTCGATTCAAACGGGAAAAACGGCATTATGTATAGATTAACGTCAAACAGAAAAATCAAGCGCAGTATGAAAAGCCAGAAGGGCCTTAGCGTGTTTCTCGAATATTTCTAGTCCGATTTAAACGGGAAAAACGACATTATGTAGAGAATGCGGTATAGATTAACGTCGATTAGAAAAAACATGCGCAATGACGGTCCAAAAGGGCCTAAAACTTATATCTTTGTTATTGTTAGTCAGATTTAATCGGGAAAAACGACATTATGTAGAGAACGTGATATAGATGAAGGTTAAAGAGAAAAATCATGCGCAGTACTTGTTTGCAAATTTTCAAATTATTCTACAACGTATTTCGGATAATTCTGACCTTCGGATTTCGATTCGCAATCTACGACATATTGAATTCACAATTTTAATAAAATTGTTTTTAAAATACCCTTTATCAGTATCAAAATATTTATTTTTCAAAATTTTATGTTTGATTTAAAAAAAAATGAATATAAATATAAAAATTATATCAAACTTTTTATAATTCGTACTTTTTCTTAGACGAATCCAATAATTCTCAAAATAAAATGTTCTTTTAAATGTTGATCAGAAACGAGCGTTTCTCGTGGACCCCTCCGAGTCTTTTAAATTACCTCTGGTATGTTTAATAACACCGGAAATTAAGTTATTCTTCAGGGATGGAACGTCAACGCTTTTTACAGTTATTTATCGATCGCATGTATGTATGATTCAAACGCCTTTCGTTTTTCTCTCACCTAGCTGTGGCTGCGTGTCTTTGGCGTTTGTTTTTTAGGAAGATCAATCAATATTAATGTCAACATTTTTTTTTGCGATTATCATTTAAAATATAATTATTAATATTAGGATATTAAAGAAATTTTGAACAACATAAAAAAATACTTAATAATGACCCACTTAAAAAAAATAATTAACCAAAATAAAAAGTACTGAAGAAGACACAAAATAAAGACTGAAAGCATTACAAATCATAATTTAAATTTGTAGTTTTATTTAAAAAACAAAACACACCTACATCTCAAGAAAATCAAAACAAAAATTTAAGAACATACAGTTCATCAATTCAAACTACACATAACAGTATACAACAAAAAAGGAGATGCTAAAAATGACCGCATTTTGCATTACACTACAATTTTTAAATCGTTTTTCCCATATAAATTTAAAACGGCATATGCGATTTTGCTGAAATTTGGTATATTGGTAGAGTTTTATGTGGCAAAAAAATGGTATTAAAATTTTGTCCGATAATAATACATAGGCGTAGAACTTGATTTTTTAAATAATTGCACCTTTAAAAATTCTACGCCAATGGAAGAAAAGGAGTTTGATTGCGCAACTCATTTACTTTAAAAAAGGTACTCTTGATAAGACTCGATTCCCATGCAACATTATGCCGTCATTATGACGTGATTTTCTGGTGTGCGTTACGTCATTTGATGACGTGAAAATAACGTTATGGTAACGTGAGAATGTCACAGCGAAATGACGTCATTCCATATCGTCATTTTGACGAATCGATATCACGTTAAAGTAACGTGTATATCGGGTGTCCTAGGCTAGGCAAATTGACGTCATTATCACGAATCTACCTAACGTCATAGTGACGTCTATATTATTAGGTGTCCCAAGGTTGGATGGAATTATTAAAAATACTAAGAAGATGAAAGTTATTTATTTAATTCAAAAAACACATAAAAAATATATTATACAAAATAAATTACACTGGTAAATAAAAAAGTCATGAGCAAGAAACCAAAAGGAATAAAATGACAAAAGAATATTAGAGGAATTGATACAACATACCTAAAATTGTAGATTTGATTTTAATTGGGGGTGGGCGAGCATGCTTTACGATTTCATCATCTTCAGTATCATCGAATGACAGCTTTCTAGTTGGCACCTGTTTTCTTTTAGTAGGTACTTTATCAGCCTTGGAATGTAGATGTGAGGTAACTTCGACTTTTTTTTAATTTGGTACATCACTTATCATTATCATCTAAAATAAAAGAACTATTAAAATACAGACCACTACAAATTCTTAAAGATAGAAAGTAAATTGTGTATCTAGTTGTAAAAACAACCTTCTCAGAGATATACATATAGTCTAAGTTTATAATAAAAGTTAATAAAAAAAAAAGATCATAATATAGTCTGTGAGATGATAAAAGGTATCTAAGGACCGATTCCACCGTTGTGTTAAACGA